GACGCCTTCCCCCTCTGGCCAGCGGCCTGGGCCGGCCTCGTCGATTTCACCAGCTGCCCCCGTGCAACCGGTGGCCAGCACGCGCCTCTCCAGGGGTGACCAGTGGCCCCAAGCGTGCCCGGGACTTGCACTGGCTTCTCCCACCACCACCTGGCCGCCCAGCCTGACGAGTGCCCTCCAACGGCTCCTCTGCGTGCCCCATGAGGCCTTCCTCTGCGGCGGTGCTCTGGCCGCTCTCCTCCTGACCAGTAGCCTGGAACGGAGTGATTCAACCTCTCACTTCTCATGGTCTTAGAAGCCCAGTTCCGCCACCAGGGCCTCTGTGGCCCCGGGGTGGGGCACCGGGTGCTCTCTCCCTTACTCACCCCTGAAAGGTCCTCCCACTCTTCCCCCTATCCAGGGAATCCCAGGAATGCCACCCCCCCTTCCTCCTTCCCGCGTTCCCCTCACTCCCTCCCAGCCTTGGGGGAGGGGAGGGGAACCCGGCTGGCAGGGACAGGTGATTGGGGGAGGGGAAGAGTCCTGGGCACCTGGGAGGAGGGGGAGGAGTCCAGTCACTGGATGGAGGGGAGGGTCACAGGTCAGATTGCCCTAGGCATCTTATGAGCCTGGTCGGACTGGGATAAAAGCCCCTGCCTTCTGCCTGGGTGGTGGTGGGGAGGGAGACGTCACTGGGTACCTGGGAGAAGCTAGCCCCCCCCCCCCCCCCATCAGAATGGGGGGTCCTATACCAGCGCTGGTCAGGCTGGGAGAGGTTACCCAGGCATCTGATCAGCCTGGGGCGAAGTGGTCCCCGGAGCCTGGACTTTGCCTGGTCAGGCACAGAGGGAAGGCTGAGATTACCGGAAGTTGCTGGTCAGACTGGTCAAGGCTACTTCATCCAGCCTTCACAGAGGACAGCAACTGTTACCTGGGAAAGATAACTTTTCGGTATTAGCTAAAGGCCCCTTCCTCCAGGAAGCCTTCTTTCAGGCCCCCCCTGGCTGGGTCAGGTTTCCCCTTGGGGTTTCCCCAAAGCCCTGGGCTCCCCCACCTCAGCCCTGCATACTCGGGTGGTCCCTGTCTGGGGATGGGTCTGTCCTCCGTGGGGTGTGAGCCAGTGAGGGCAGGGCCAAGGATGGCCTGGTCACAGTGGTGTCCATGGCACCGCCCAGCACAAGACCAGACCTGGGGCAGGCACTCAGGGAAGGTGTGCCAGACTCAGCCTCGGGGGCACACAAGGATCACGGCAGGACACACCGCACAAACTCACGCTGATGCAGCCGCACTCTGAGACAGTCTCAAGCGCTCCCTCCCTGGGACAGGCTCCCCCGCCCAGAGCCCAGACAGCTCTTCTGTTCAGGCCTGTGCACCTGCTGCCTGGCTGGACCCCGGCAGGTCCCCTCTCATCAGCCCTCCCCCTTCCGCCTTCCTCAAGAACCCAGCCAGCTGAGGTCCTGGGGGAGGCGGAGGAGGACAGGAGTGTGGATGAAAGAGGAAAGCCATCCGCACCAGCGGCAGCCCTTGCAGACTTGCAGAAACTAGTCTTGTAACATCATCTGCTTTCTCCCTTGTGATTTATTCCCACAGTGCAGCCAGAGGGATCTCATTAAAATGTGAGTCAGTTCCAATCACTCTTCTGTCCCCGAGTCCTCCCGTGGCTCCTGTTTCCCTCAGAGGGAAAGTGCAAGTTCTCTCCACAGCTCACAAGGTCCTCGGTCTGGTCATCCTCGCCTCCCTGACTGTCTCCCACTCACTCCCCTCATTAGCACCTCTCTCTGCCACAGGGGTCTCTTAGCGGCCATGCTGGTCCTCTAACATACAGGCACAGGCAGCCCCAGGGCCTTTGGATGTGCTCCTGTCTGCTGGGATGTTCTTCCCCCACAAAATTTCCTCCCTTTCTTGCTTCGAATCTCTACTCCAACCTACCTCATTAAACAGCGTTCCTTGACCATCCTATCTAAAATAGCAACTCCGGCTGGGTGTGGTGGCTCACACCCGCAATCTCAACACTTTGGGAGGCTGAGGTGGGAGGATTGCTTGAGCCCAGAAGTTTGAAACCAGCCTGGGAAACATAATGAGACCTCATCTCTACCACCAAAAAAAAAAAAAAAAATCAACAAAATTAGTCAGGCATGGTGGCACATGCTTATAGTCCCAGCTACTTCCAGTGAGCTGTGATCATGCCACTGCACTCCAGCCTGGGCAACAAAGTGAGACCCCATCTTTACAAAAAAAAAATAGCCAGACAGGGTAGTGCTTGCCTGGAGTCCCGCAGGAGGCTGAGGCAGAAGGATCACTTGAGCTCAGAATGTAGAGGCAGCAGTGAGCCATGATTGTGCCATTTCACTCCAGCCTGAGTGAGCCCCCAAGTATTAAAAAAAAAAAAAACCCTCCAACCTACCTCATTAAATAGCTCTCCTAGTCCGTCCTCTCTAAAACAGCAATCTCTTCTACCCTAGCCACTCAATTTCCATATCTTACTACATTTTTCAGCATAGCACTTACTACTGCCAGATAAATTATGCTTAGCTTTTCTTTCTTTCTTTCGAGTCAGTCTTTCTGTCACCCAGGCTGGAATGCAGTGGCATGCTCACGGCCACCCCAGCGTCCACCAGCTGGGCTCAGGCAATCCTTCCACCTCAACCTTCCAAGTAGCTGAAACTACAGGTGCACGCCACCATGCCCAGCTAATATTTTTGATATATTGTAAAGAAGAGGCCTCAACAAGTTGCCCAGGCTGGTCTTGAACTCCTAGGCTCAGGCAATCTTCTCACCTCGGCCTCCTAAAGTGCTGGGATGACAGGCTTTAGCCACTGTGCCCGGCCACAGCTTGGCTGTTTTTTTTATCATTTGTCCTGAGCAGAATTTAAGCTCCAAGAGAACAGAAACTTTCATCTACCAGAACCGTGCCAGGCATGTGGAGGAGGGAAGGAAGTTTTTGTGGACTGAATTAAATCATCTTCCAATTCCATCTTTACTGTTTCATGTGCAACCCTTATATATTTTAATTCACAAGTCTTATCTTTCCTTTATGTTTCTCCCATTATTTTGCATGCAGTGTGTGACAGCTAATCTTTTTTTTTTTTTGAGCCAGGATCTCACTCTGTCGCCCAGTCTAAAGTGCAGTGGTACAATCGTGGCTTACCACAGCCTCGACCTCCTGTGTTCAGGTGATCCTTCCACCTCAGCCTCCTGAGCAGCTGGGACTAGCAGCAAGCGCCACCACGCCTGGCTAACTTTTTAAATCTTTTGTCAAGATGAGGTCTTGCTATGTTGCCCAGCCTGGTCTTTTTTTTTTGAGTTGGAGTCTCACTCTGTTGCCCAGACTGGGGTGCAGTGGCACGCTCC